TCTGTGCCTGAAGCTGCACCTCTTGTTCTGCTGAGCCGCCCTTTCTGCAGATGCTCTGGTCCCTTCAGCAGATCCTTTAGTCCTTTCAGCAGATCCTCTGGTCCTTTCTGCAGATCCTTTTTTCCTTTTCTGCAGATCCTTTTTTCCTTTTCTGCAGATCCTTTGGCCCTTTCTGCAGATCTTCTGGTCCTTTTCGTAGATCCTTTAGTCCTTTCCGCAGATGTTCTGGTCCTTTTCTGCAGATCCTTTTTGATCCTTTCTGCAGATCCTTTAGTCCTTTCTGCTAATTCTCTGGTCCTTTTCTGCAAATCCTTTTTGGTCCTTTCTGCAAATCCTTTTTGGTCCTTTCTGCAGATCCTTTGACTTTTTCTGCAGATCCTCTGGTCCTTTTCTGCAGATCCTTTAGTCCTTTCTGCAGATCCTCTGGTCCTTTCTGCAGATCCTTTGGTCCTTTTTGCCTATCTTTTGGTTCTTTCTGCAAATCCTTTTTGGTTCTTTCTGCCAATCCTCTGGTCTTTTCTGCAGATCCTTTTTGGTCCTTTTTTCAGATCCTTTTTGGTCCTTTTCTGCAGATCCTTTGGTCCGTTTTTGCAGATCCTTTGGTCCTCCTTACACAGGGATTCCTGTGTCTGGATCCACATCCTGCAAGGGGCAGATGCAGAGGGATTTGCTGTGTTCAGCTGTGTCACAGCTGCTCCTCTGGAGGTGGCTCTTGGCTCTTGGGGTCCCTGTGATTTGGGGAAGGGTCAGTGCAGGGTTGATCCCAGGAATGTCAGTGCTCAGACAGGGTGGTTATTTCAGATCTGTGGAGTGCACAGACTTTCCTGTCCCTTCAGTTCAGCCCAGAACTTGGGTGCCATTCATGCAGAATTCATTTAATGGGCTGGAGCTCTGTCAGGTTTCTTGAGTTCTCCATGAAAGCATTATAAAGAGTTCCTTTAGAGCTCTGAGAACACCAAGCTTAATTGTGGGATACCTTTCCCAAAAGTGACTGCCTGGTGAAGCTCTGTTCATCACCTGGAAATGCTTTACAGGATCTTTACAGGAAATGCTCTGTTGGAGGAGGAAATTTGGCCTTTCTGCACCTTGCCCTGTGTCCTAGGGCAGGGTATGACCAGCAGCTTGTCTGTGCACTTCCAATGTTCTGAAGAAAAGCCTGCAGGATCTCAGAAGGGTTTGGGCTGGAAAGGACTTAAACCTCATCTGTACCCTGGGCAGGGACATCTTCCACTGTCCCAGGGTGCTCCAAGCCCTGTCCAACCTGACCTTGGGCACTGCCAGGGATGGAGCAGCCACAGCTTCTCTGGGCACCCTGTGCCAGGGCCTCCCCACCCTCCTAGTTAACAATTCCTTCCATATATTTATCCTCAATTTCCCCTTTTTCACTTTGAACCTATTACCCCCTATCCTATCACTKCAATTCCCAGTGAGGAGAGCTCCAAGATACTCTCAGCCTACTCTTCCTTTACTACACTGTGATGCTTTTCCTCCATGTCTGAGCAGAGTTTGACCCCTTCCCACCCTCGCTGGCTGATGTTGTTTTTCCAACCTCAAGACAAGTTTTTCCCTTTAGGCACAGCAAGAACTTCAAGCAAAGAGACAAACCCAGCCTTCTGTGCTTTAAATGCTCGGGGCAGGGGTTTCACCTCAGAGCCAAGGGGCTGCAGCTTAGGTGGGCTTGTTTGGGTTCTGTGCCTGCCTTAATGTGTCCCCTCCTCTCTGCAGTGCCATGTGAAGCCCTGAATGCTCTGCGGGCAATTAGGTCTCTAAAGCGTTATTTATTACAATTTTTTTTTTTTTTTCAAAGTGGGTCAAGCCGTTTTGGCATCTCAGGCGCCGGTTCCTGGTTCAATGGCAGACCTTGGTCGCCTTGGCAACTGCAGAAAGCGTTGGTCATGGCTGTGCCTTGGGCTGGATTCAAGCTCCAGGGAATGGGCAGCAGCAGGGGCAGCCTCGTGCTTTCCGTGCCCATCCTCACTGAATTAACACACTTTTCCTYTTTTCTGTCTGTGGAGTCCTCCATGGGAGAAATATTCAGCTTTTCCCAGTTTTCAGATGTAAACAGAGGGGTTCAGCCCTGCTGGGTTTGATATTTGAGCCAGAGATGTTGTTTTCCCCCATTCCATTTCTGCAAAGGTGATCATCCACACACACCTGACACAGGTTAAATGGATGGATTCAGTTTTTTAAACTAAAAAATGAGCTTGGAAGACACAATCTGCCCGACATGGCAGAGCTGGCACAAAAATTGTGCCCGTGGCAGTGCGAGCTGAGCCCAGGCAAACACAAGATTGCCAGCTCTGATTAAACAAGTCAGCACCATGCTGCTCCTGTGGCTGAAAATCCCACCTTGAGGAACTTTGTAAGGCCATAAAAAGACAGAAATAGCCCCAAACTTTTGAGCATTTTCATCTCAAAATGTTTTGTTTCACTTGTGCTTGGTGCAGCTGCACCCTGGGTTGGAGCTGCTTTAACTGAGCASCAGCAAAACCTCACAGCTGCAAACSGAAAGCAAACAGAGCCTGGACTGAGCTGGGCTTGGTTTTCACAGAGCTAAACCGAGCTCAAAGTGAAACTGTGAACTTGCTGCCCCCAAAGTCAAAGTGAAACTGTGAACTCGCACGAAAATGAGGTTGTGCATGGTAAACTTGGGTTTTGTGGAGCTGTAGGAGAAAAAATTGGTGGGTGAGTTCTGGCAAATGGAGCCCAGTGATGTGGCTTGAAATTCTTGTCTTGTRTTTTTGGGGACCTCTCACATGCAAGGGGTTGTGTTGACTCAAGAATGACCAACACAGCCTCAGAGTTTAGGGGTTTTATTTAATTAGAAGTCTGCATTTTCTAGACCCYGTAGAAATGGCAGATCAGAGCCATTTCCACCTCTGGGACCGCTGCTGATGAGCTTGGAGTCGCTCAGACAGCTCTAAAATTGAGTTCAGCAGGAGAAAGAGCAGCAGGAGCACGGAAAAGGTGAAACACCCATTTTAACTGGATGATGAAAGCCCAGGAAGAAAYCTGATCCTTTTAACTTTTCAATAAAATAAGAAATCCTTGATAATTCTRCTTCATGATGTACCTAACCTGCTGCAGGCAGTGCTGCTGGGAGAATGGTCCAGATGATTTTTTGATTTGTCTTTTCAGTTATTATTCAATAATTCAGTGATTATTTGGAGGGATTAAATCTTGAATATTACWAGTTATTTCTGCACTGGTTTAGTGTTCAGTATTCCTGTGCCAGGGAAAGGGAGGGCACAGGACAGGATGCTGGGACAATGTGGAACTTGAGGGATGTGAAGAGCCTCAAACCAAGGGGGAATTGCTTTGCCTTAGCACTGGAGCTCCCTTGGGCTTTAGGTGACATTTGAACAGGTTTTCATTGTTCTATGTCTGTATTTCTCATCCTATTGAATAGAAATAGCAAACCCATTTTTCCCCAGCCTGCTTTTTACCTACATGAACTTCCACACCTTGTATTGGTGAAAGCATCTTCCCAGGGGTTCCTGCTGCTGCTCCTGCCCGGTTCCAGCCCCTGTGAAATCYGATTCTGCCCTGTTTGCATAAGCAGCTCGGCTGGGTGCTTCCTGCAGGCTGTTTAGGGAAAGTTTCATCACTTGTGCGTTGGCACAAGCAGTGAGCGAATAAAAGATCATTTTTGAGACCAGTTCATCCAGTGCTGAACCAAAACCAGGCTGGTGTCTGCTGGAGGAGCGTGCCACATTGTCTGCTCACGTCCAGCTAATGCTTGTAAAACGGTTTTGGAATCTTCGGAGGCAGGGGATGGATATGATTTTTATCTTGGAATTACTAAAACCTCAGGCATGTGTTCAGCTCTTCTCAATTCTCAGGAAGGAACTGATCCTTGCTGTSCATCAGAGTGAGAAGGAAGCCTCAGTTTGTGTMATTTGGATTAAATTATAACCCTGAWGAGTCTGATTGGACCAATTTCTTTAGTTCAGTCCTTTGCAGTTGTGATTCCTCCATCCTTTTCCTGTTGCCTGTGCTGTCAGATGTGGCCTGTTTGGTGCTGCTCATGAGTTGAAGGATTTTTCACAGATCCAGCCCTTGGTGCTCTGTAACCTGCTGAGTGTGGCAGCAGCAGCTGGAAAAGCCTCAAGGATGTCTGGGCTGCTCAGAAATAGATTTGACTCCTGAAGGAAATGAGTGATGGAGGGAAAAATGGGTGTAGCATGTGGTGTTTTGAAGAGTCTGGCAGGAAGGAGAGGCATCAAAAGAGAAGGAGCAGTGAGGAAATCTGAGTTTTCCTGTTCTGTGTAAATATGTGCGTTACTGGCTTGCTGCTTTAGGTTTTGGGGCATTTACTGAGGAAAGAGGATGAGAAATTCCATTCCCCTCACARTTTCTCTAAAACTCTGACGGGCATTGCTTTTCCCGTTGTGAAAGAGGAACTTYATTTATWTTTTTTTTTTWAATCAAAAAGGCTTTTACGTTACAGCAAACCATTTCCATGCCCAGCTCTAACTGGGGTGGGAAAGGATGGCTCTGCACAGGAAATGCTGCAYTGAATGTCGTCATGGCTCCCTTCGCAGAGCCCCAGCCTTCCTGATGCTCTTTGATGGGGTGTTTTCTGCAAGGTGTGACCCCATTTTGGTGCATCCTGATGAGAATTCGCTGCACTGATGAAGGAGGGGCTGAGCGTGTCGAGATCACGCTGTCACCTCCCTCTTTCCTGAGCGCACCTTTGGTTTTTCTGAGCTCAGCTCATCACCTGAAGCTCCTGTAGAAGCCTTCAGCAGTCCATGARTTCATTCTCGTGGGCTGCTGTGTGGTCAGAGGCACTGAAGGGCGGGTGGGGAAAGGCACTGCCAGCGGTTCTTCTGCCAGCTGAGAGCTGCCTAACCCCAGYGGGGCACGGGGCCGTTTCTGCAGGAAGCAGATCCCTGTGCCGAGCCCTGGGGGAAGCTGTGGTCTCTGCCCAGCTCGGGGTGCAGCTCTGTGTGGGGTGAAGGTGGTTAACCCTTCTCTCTCTGCCTCTCCTCCCCCAGTACTGCCAGTAACTCCAACCGCAGCACGCCCGCCTGCTCGCCCATCCTGCGCAAACGCTCGCGCTCGCCCACGCCGCAGGACGCCCCGGGGGACGCCATGGTGGAGAAGGGCTCCGACCACTCCTCGGACAAATCGCCCTCCACGCCCGAGCAGGGGGTCCAGCGGAGCTGCTCGTCCCAGTCCGGCCGCAGCGGGGCCAAGAACTCCAAGGTGAGCAGCGAGCGGAGGGCTCTGGCCACGGCGTGGCCCCGGTGCTGGATTTGCTCTGCACTGGCTTTGTGCTCTGCCTTTTCTCTCTGTCTGACCTCCCTCCCTCTGCCCCCAGCGTGTTTCTGAAAGTTCTCTGGGTCACACTTGAGCTCAGCTCTGAGTCAGCTCATTGACTGCAGCTTTGTGTGGTCAAGGTCCTGTTCCTTGTTAGGCTCTGTGCTTTTGACAAAGCTGAAAATCAGCTGTGGCAATGACTTTTTATCACGAAGGGTCATGAAATCAATAATATTTCCCCCATGAAAAGCCTGTGCATTTCCCCAGCCCTGCCCAGGCCCTCTGAGATGAGGTTCAARTTGCACAGATTCAGTTTTCCAGCCCTCTGCCCATTCCTCCCAYGGCTGTGATATCATGACTGTAGTGCCCAGGGTGGATGATGTTTTCCCCAGGAAGGTTTTGTGTCTTTGGGCCATATCAGAAACAGCCTCATCTTTGCTGTGCAGGGGAGGAGGGTTTCAGTTTGGCTTTAGGATTTTGTGTGAGCAGTGGGAGCTGGTAAAACACACACAAAGGCCTGGRGGAACCCAAACCAACCTTTGATTTTAACCCTGGTGTATCAGTGATGTGTTATCACTCAGCTGTCAGGAGACACCAGTGTTTGCCCAGGTTTGTGAGGTGAGCTGTTTCAGCCTGAATCATTTCACAGACACAGCTCTGCTGGCTCGGATAAAATGAACTGTTAGATCTYTGCCTGCTCTGCTGCTGGCTTGTGTCGCACACACGAGAATTCTTCATCCCCTCCCCTCTGTGGCCACTCAGCAGAGGAAGCAGGACTCAGTGGCCCACATTCTGATCTCTCACTGCTACAGGAGCRGAATGTGAGCTCCAGAGAGGGGGAAAAGTGTTTTCCAAACTGAATCACTGGTGTTCTGAGGTTGCCCTTGAGGTCAGCCTGGCTTCCTGTGCACACAGTGACCTACAAACCCCGTGCYGGGGCTGGGTGACACCCTGGGGACAGCACTGCCAGCGCTGTGCTCCCAAAGGGAACTTGTAGGGTGGAATGGGGGGCAGGCAGGGTGCAGGGCACGCTGTGCTCGTAGCCACACCGGGGGATGCTCCCAGGAAAACGGGCTCCTTGGCAATGAAGGGGGAATCAGGGAGGAGCTGCTCACCCTGGTCCACAAAATGCTGTGAATTGTCACAGGAGTGAGATTTTTACCAACTGAAAACTCAGATTTTTACTGCTGAAACTCACCTTTAATTCCTGGTGCTTCCCACGAGGAAAGAGGGGGGATCTGATGCTCTCTGTGGGGTGTGTGGGGTTTTCCTTCTCTCGATCCGCGAGGTAATTTTTTCTTCTCTCCCTAATTTCTCTCTTTTCATTCCTGCATGCTCTCTCTCCGATTTAAGTCACACAAGCGCCTCTCCAAAGTAAGCCTTCTTTTTTCTCTCCTGTCCCCCCACTGTAGAGCTGTCTCATCACTCAGGAACCCTCCCCTGGTGCTGAGTGCTGACCCCAGTCAGGCATTCTCCCGGTGTGGCTGCGAGAATGTCAGCAAGAGCTCAGCCCCGTGCCTGTAGCTGAAGCTGGTTTCACTTACATCCCTGGGATCTYGTTAATATTTGCTCACACAGAGTGAGAACTGGCCTGTTCATCACACTCCTTCAGCTGCTCCCGAGTAATTTTAGCCTCTGAGCTCTGCTTTCCCCTCTCCTGTGAAATGAGCTGCTGTCTTTGCCAGGGAAAAAAATCTCTCTGGAGTCGAACAGAACCACAATCCCTGCTCTTTCCCCTCTCCTTCCTCCATGACTTTGAGAAACGAGAGTTGTTCTCCATGATTCCTCCCTGCTTTTCATGATGAATAGCATTTTTGTGGCCAGTGATCTCAGCTTGCTGCCCTTGCACGCTCTCCTGTGTGATGTAAATATTAAAGATCGGTGATTTCGAATGAACCCAGCTTGAACCTGGTAGAACAGACCTGTCCCAAATGAATTGTGAGAATTCATGGGCTCGCTCTGAGAGGTGACAAGTGGAAGATCCCTCCTTTGGGTGCTCAGATTGGAGATAAGATCATTTGGGATTTGATCTCACGCCTCTGTGCTACCCCCAGAAGAGTGGAAAAAAATCAGAAACGCGGGTGGGATGTTGTYGGAGAAGGTGCCAGGCTGTTGGCATTTCCACTTTGTAAAAGCAGAATGGCTTGGATGGCTTCACACCCCACCAAATCCCTGTCTTGGCCTTTCCCARTGGATGCCTCAGGTTTCCTTCCTGGAGAGTTCTCAGAGAGCAGTGCTGGCTCTTCCCTTGGTCGTGGTCCTCGTGGCCAGCCTGACCTTGCATGGTTTGCTGGTGTCTGCTGGAAGCTTCTTTGTGTGTTTTTTTTTAGACAGATTGTCTTGTGCTTGGTATCTGTAGCTGGGATAACAGCAGAGGAGAATGTTGGGCTAAAGGCTCAGGTGAGGTGTGAGAGATGCTGTGCAAGGTCTGGAGTAGCAGAGTCCTGGCAGCGTTATGGTGAGTAGAGRTGTGTGAGCCTCAGGCTGGGTGAGCTGCAGGTGCAGAGGACTTTAGGAGAGGGATTTTTGGGGAGCAGGGTGCTGTCTGTGTGAGGGGTGTGTGCTGCAGCCCCCGCTTTTGGGATGGGGAGACACCAAGCCCTGCCAGGCTGGGGCAGCAGGAGGGGAGGGGGTCAGATGGGGTCAGAGGGAAGGGGGTGACCCCCAACAGCCCCTCAGAGCCTCATGCCCTGATCACACACACAGAGAACACCCTGAGCTGCACCCACGAGCATCACCGAGTGTGCACCTGCAGCTCTGTGCTCAGCTCATGCTTTATGGGGTTACCTAACCCAGAGTTCAGACAGAATTGAGAGAATCCAGAGCAGTTCTGTTCTTGCAGGGCCTTCAGGGCCATTCAGGGCAGTCCCAGCCCAGCCAGGGGCTGCACCCACAATGGACAATGGCTCACGGSTTTTTCACCCTTTCTCACTTTTGTCCATTTGCACAAAATCGGGSCTGAATCCTCCAATTGCAGCTGCAGCCAATGCAGTCAAAAACTCCAACTTGGCTCCCCCCAATTCTCTGTTGTTTCCATCTCTTGGGGCCTGGCCCAGGGAGGTGTCCTTGAGTTTGGGGCTGCAGAGGAATTGTTTTGTGTGAAAATGGGAGAGCAGGAGCTCAGCACTGTCTGTGGAGTCTGGAGTTAAACACTGGAGAATCCCAGGGTTACAGAGACATGGAAATAGAGAAACTGAAATCCTGAGGCATCACTATGGACTGCTCCCTCTGGCACAAATACAGAATTTCAGGCATTGAACCCCTCTGCTCTCCCCAGGCAGRTGATGGTGGTGCTGCTCCTGCAGGGAACAACCAGAAACAAAGAACTTGAGAGCAAAGACTTCAAACTCTCCTTTCCCAGTCTTTTTTTCCTCTCCCCACCCATCTTCTGCAGGAAGAAAGCTTTCATTTCCCGACCTGTCTGGCTAAGGGGGTGGAACAGCTTGAGCCCATGAGTTCGCTGCTGTGTTGGTTCAGTTGCTGACAGTTTTTCTCCAGTCCCTGCCCTTTTTTTTTTTGTCTGTCGTGCTCTGTGGTGCTGCAGCGCTGCCATCAGAGGGAGCGCTGCACCAGGAGTTTTTAAGCACTGGAATTGCATCCCGAGGGAATCATTCCTGGATTGCCATCCCAACCCCACCAGTGTGCCACTGGGTCAGCCTCAGGCTTCTGCTGCCTCTGGAACAGCTTTCCAAACTCAGGAAAATCTCATTTTTTTGCTAGTAGCCAAAGATGAAATATGTGTTTTTTAACTATTTTGCCCTTGCCCAAGGATAAAAGTGATTTCCTGTAGATTCTTCCCAATGCCTGTAGCTAATGGAGAATGCTGAAGGATTAGTATTAAATTTTGGTGTATGTAGTATGTATTATTATTATGTATTTTGGTATTAGCATGTAAATTTTGGTGCAGGTCCCGGGGGTTGTTGAACAGTTTAGGTGGGAAGGRATCTCAGGAGGTCTCTCACTCAAACCCCAGCTCAAAGCAGGGTTAAATCAGTTTGGTTTCAAGCCTTGCCCAGCCACATTTTTCATCCCACAGCCTCACCAGGCCCCTGCTCCAGTGCTTAACCACTCTTGGGAACAGGCTTTTTCCTCCTCTCACATAGAATTTCCCTTAGTGCAGCTTAGTCCTGTTGCACCTTGTCCTTCCAGTGTGCCCTGATGAGAAGAGTTTGGCCGTATCTTCTCATTCCCCCTCCCACCCCTTTGGTGGGACAAACCCCCTTTAGATAGTAGGTGATGAAATTGTGATAATTTTGGGCTGGGGTGAGGGTTTGGGGAATAAATTCCTTCCATTTCCTGGAGTTATGACCATTTAGAAGCTGTAGGGAGAGCATAGATCAGCAGGAAGGGCTCTGCAATCTGAGCTCTGCCTTTACCCCGGCTCTGTGCCTCTGTTTCCCCAGCTCTAAAAGGGATTTAGGGGTACTCCTAGAACTCTCTGACTTGTCAGTCCATTGGCAAAAGGTTTCTGTTCCCCTGGCAGCAGCAGRGAGTGAGTTTTGATGCTGCTCCCGGTGATGCTGAGAGGTAGAAATTAATTTTGGATGGAGCTGTGAGGGTGCAGTTTTTACAGCAGAGCTGTAGCCTTCCCCAGCGGTGCGTGCAGGTGGGAGCTCACTAAATCAGGAATTTTTAGAGGCAGCTTAGAGAAAATACTCCATTTTTCACCTTCCTCTGAATTTCCTCCTGGTTACAGCCCCYGTGAGCTCTGCTCTCTGCTCCTGTAGCATCATCACATCTTCTCCTTGTCTGTGTGCACCCCCCTTCTTCTGTTACTTGTTTATTTTCTCTTTTCAGTTCTAATGCTTATGGTTTCTTTTTCCAGTATGACAGACTTAACCTGCTCAAAGTAAGAATATGTTTTTCCTTTTTTCTTTCTTTTTCCCCCCTCCCCTTTTCATTTTACTGTCTCTTGATTTTCAGTTCACATCCCCCTGTGTTCTGACTCTCACTGAGTTAAAAAAAAACAAAGATAAAATAGAAAAGAGATTTAAGGGCTGAGGTTCTTTGGATTTTGGACAAGTCTGTTGAACTTGGTGAAGGCAAAAGATGAGGTTTGAATGTTGGTGTAATTTAGGATGTTGGTAAAATTAGGGATGTCAGTGTAATGTGGATGCCAGTATAATTATGATGTCACTCTAATTTTTCTGATGTGTAAGAATAACAATTTTTTTGGTAAAGAAGAACCTGCAGAGCTCCTTTACAGAGAACTCTTGATTTAGGGAAACGTGAAGAGGGAAAATAAATAGTTCCTGCAATGAATGCAGCAGAGGGGAGTGAAATTTTGTTGGGCTGTGCTGACACCACAGCACGGGCACCCTGATTTAGAAGGCACAGTGACAGCAGTGCCTCCGTTGTGTTTGTGCCACTTATAGGTTGATTATGAGGTTTTGTGGGTTTTTTTTTTCCTGAGTTATGCCTTTTGCTCATTAAGGCAGACAGATGGCAAAACAAATCTGCAGGAAAATCGCTCCATCTCGGGCCCTGTGCTCCTGAGGACAAGGTGCTGTKTGCCTGGTTTAGATTAATTACCCTGGTTCTTTTTTTAGTGCAGCCTGGGTTGCATAAGGCCTTTTTCCACGGCCTACTTGCAGAGAGGGATGACTTCAACCCTTTATGAATGGAGGGGCTGGCCAAGTATGGAAAGGAGTGGGAAGGAAGWGGAAGTTCCTCTGCTTGGCTGATGAGCTGTGCTCTGTTCAGTCCTCCAGGATCTGGGGAAAAGGGCTGTTCCTCTTTTTAACGTCTTTTTTTTTTGTGTGTTTTAACCTGTGCGCTGTGTTCCTGTGGGGATTTTCTTTGGAGAGCCGGGCAGGAAAACTGGGAGGAAATCTGCATCCTTGAGGAATGGGATGTGGGTGACAGTGGGGTGACACCAGAGGGGCACAGGAGCTGTTCAGGGCAGGGATCATCCCCTGAGTGTCCACAGAAATCTCTGCCCTGGCTGATCTCCTGAACTCTCCCCTCCTTTGTGTGGCAGAACCTGCGGAGTGCCCACAGAAATCTCTGCCCTGTCTGATCTCCTGAACTCTCCCCTCCTTTGTGTGACAGAACCTGCGGAGTGCCCAACGCAGTTCCTGCATCAAAAAGGTTTCACAAAGCTCCTGCAGGCTCTGTGGCAAGCACAGCACTGTTTTCCCTTCCTGTTCCAAACTGTGGGCAAAGCCTGGAAAATTCTCCCAGATGGCTCCAGAGAAGGAGAGGCAGTGAAATATCACTTCTGTCCTTGTGTGCTACCCTCAGCTCCACGAATTTAGGGTGGAAGTGGCTGGGAGAGGGCGTAGAGTTTCTCTCAATGGGAAAAGTGTCCCCAAGCTTCACTGCCCTGAGGTAAATCCCCCAAAAATGGGGGCTGCCTGTGTCTGCTGCCAGCCCTGCTCTGCATCCTGTTAGGGAGAGGGAAGCTCATTCCTTCCCCWCCCTGTGCAGATCAATCTCGCCTCCAGCTGAACATGAGCGTGGCTTTYCAGGCTGAGCCAGCTCTTTTGTGTGCTCCAATGTGACATGTGGCCTGTCCTCTCAAACCATCTGAAACGCCATGATGGAC